TTCAGTGTGCCTAGGGATCTTATCGTGAGAGCTGAGGGCAGATGGTTCCCAAGGCTCGGATGGGAAGCATACTGACCGCGCTTCCAGGGGTTACAGGACCCGCCTCCAAGTAACTAAGTTCCATTTCATCTTCAGGAAAGACGTGCCATAGAAGACAATTTTCAGGACACAAAGTCTAGTCTAAACCAAAGCAACTTGAACATGGAGGTGCTGTTTAAGCTGGTAAGCCGCCTGTTTCCTATCAGTGTTCTCGCTGACAGGGAAGAGCCATTATTAACCGTGGTTAGTTCTTTGTTTTCCTTGGACACATTCTTTAAGGAGAGGTACAACCAAGCAACTACTTGATTGAGCTGGAATAAAACCCAGTTGGTAGATTTCTCAGCCCCTGGTAACTATGCTATTGACTCAGAGCTTGAGTCACAGGATGGAGATGTGGCATCTGCGAGAAGACCAATCTGAATGTGACTCTTATGACTTTTTCATTAAAAAAAAAAAGGACACACGGGCGTGAAGGTTTGCAGGTTTAAATTGGCTCACCAACTTACAGGCTCACAGCAAAAGCTTACTCTAGTCAATATATGGGAAATGCTCTGCCCTGGGCTGATGGACAGCCTGGCGAGGGGATGCCAGACATGCAGAGGCTGTCCTAGCTGCCGACATGCACAGCATGCATTCATGATTTTGGAACATTCATCGTGGCTTCACATTTATTTACATTTCTTTTTCCAAAGACTTCAAAGAAGATGTTAGTATCCAGTTTTACAGATGAACACCTGAGTTAGAAAGCCTATGTGACTTATATAAGGTTAGACTCTCAGAGAGAGAATAGTATGAGTTCTGCAAGCCTTGAGCTCAGACCTAGAAAACTTTAGAGCCCCATCATGCCCAGGGAGGGTCCAGGGCAGGCGCTGGCCTTAGGGCAGGGTTTCTCACTCTCCTTACTGATTGATTGATCACTAGAAATCAGCATGGAAAATCATCACATACTGATGGTAGCAACCGCCACAGCCTTCTGAGCCCTGAGATCACACGCCTAGACTACCTACCTGGCTAGGATTGTTTTAAATTGCTTTTGGCCATGGTGATATTTTGTTGTGCTTTAACAAATAAAGCTTGCCTGAAGATCAGAGTGAGAAGCTAGCCACACTTGTTAGCCATAGAGGCCAGGCAGTGGTGGCATATACCTTTAATCCAAGCACTCGGGAGAGCAAAGTAGACAGTACAGTTCCTTCTGCTATCCCATTGGATGAGGAAGAAAGAGCAGAAGACACTCAGGAGTGGGTGGGCCACCACAGGCTGTCTGTCTCAGTTCACCAGGCTGCTGGGTGGCTGTATCTAGATCTACACCATTGTCACCTTCCCCTAAGATGATCTGTCTTTTGGATCTTGCCTCTTTCTCCTCTTTCGGCATCTTGCTATGGGCCATTGCTGAGGGCCTCAGCCATTACATTTCTCCTGAATTCCTGATGTTTTCTGCAGGAGAGAAAGCTCCAGATGGACTCAGTAGAGAAACGAACCCGAGTTGTGAAGGAACTTGTGCAGAGCGAGAGACGGTATGTGCAGATGCTGGGAATCGTGAGGGACGTATACGCCAGGCCCCTGAGGGCAGCGCTCGCCTCAAACAGAGCCATTCTGAGTGCTGCCAATATACACATCATTTTCTCTGATGTTCTACGCATCTTAAATCTCAACAGGTAAACCCAAAAGATGGATTCATTAACATGTACTCCCCAGAAAGTGGGAAGAGCACACTTTGTCTCCAAAGTCCCACTATGGCCCAGCCATTCTCTATCTTCTTGGGGATCCCATTACCTGGAAGAGCAGAGAGTCTCCTTTGCATGTTACCTGATAGGTACAACCAGCAGTGATGGCTTCCAGGGCTACCCCAGGTCCAGGTCACAACATGTGCAATAAAAAGAATTCAATGCCTAGACATTCTGTAGCCAATAGACTGCTCACACAGAAGTCCACGGGAATGAGTTAGCAATGTCTAACTGAATAACAGGACAGGAAGAAAAGGACTCAATAGGACTAGGAAACTCTGCTTTTCCATGGTGGGTTTCTTACATGTATCAAGAGATTGAGAAGAACAAAGGTTTCTTCATGTAGTAGGGTGAAGTGAGCCAAGTTCTGGTCTTAGTCAATCTCTACAGACCTGGGGAAGAGTCCCGCACCTCTCTGGGCCCAACCTAGTGACAAGGCTAATGAAACCTCCTCTCCTCAGCTTTCATGGCCTGAATGGCTGAGAAGGGTCACCTTGGATCTGTAGAGTATGTGGGCTGTATGCAAGCTATGGTTGTATGCAAGTTAAAGTTGAAGGCCAAGGCCTTGAAGCTTTTGAAGGTACCACTCTCCTCAGTGAACTGTGAGAATGTCCATAGCTCTGGCTCTCTGAGGGTAGAACATTCAGAAGTGGTTCTCTTGTGGGAAGCTGGATTCTGACAGGAAATTAATGTAAAAGATGGGCTTCTGGGCATCCAACCTCTTCCCTTACTTCCCAGCTTTCCCATGCTGTCAAATCCAGATTTCTTTGTGGTAAAGTACCCGGCTGGTAAAGATCAAGTTCCACCTCAAAACACTAGGCAGAAAAGCCTATAGCAATGAATTTGTTGCTTACGTTTGGAGCCTCTCACAGATTTCTATGTCAATATACAACCTTCTCATGTTGTAGAGAATTTCTAGCTAACCTAAGAGACAGACTACAGGAATGGAGCCCAGCCCACTGTGTGGGAGAAATATTCATAAAATTTGGAAGGCAGCTGAACACATATACCAATTTCTTCAACAACTATCCAGTTGTTCTGAAAACCATTGAGAAGGTAAGTGGTTGTGTTACACTGAGGTAAATAGGAAAGGGTGCTTCTCAGCTACTCCCTCTCAGGTTTCTTCCCATGTACTTCAAGCTTCTTGACGACAGGGACCTTAACATAGAGGCCAACACAGTAACGGACACACATCAGTGCTCAGGAACCAATACCGATAGCTGAGCTGTAGCATATACACTGAGCCTCCTCATATACACTGCCAAATCTTCACGTAGCCCAGTCACTTAGTGGCTCAGTGACAAGACATTAAACAACTAAGTTGGAGCAGGATTGTGGGCTCAGAATTGTGGGCAGGATTGTGCACTCAATGGCAGGGATGGGGACACACAAGGTCGACTCAATGGATACCTTGACCATGACTTTTGACCCAAGGACAAGAATTAGAGCAAAGAGTGTCATCAGAAACAAACTGGTGGCAAAACTTTTACAACCATGGCAAATACTGGTACATACTTCATGAGCAGAGTGAGGGCATACAGATGTTGACTACATTTAGCTATTATTATTATTTCTGCATCAAGTCCTTTTTTTTGGCTTTTCAAGACAGGGTTTCTCTGTAGCTTTGGAGCCTGTCCTGGAACTAGCTCTGTAGACCAGGCTGGCCTCGAACTCACAGAGATCCGCCTGCCTCTGCCTCCCAAGTGCTGGGATTAAAGGCATGCACCACCACCGCCCAGCCCATCAAGTCTTTTAAGACTTTTAGTTGTTTGCAAGTATGAATGGCCTTATTCCTTAAACATTCTTGGCGCTTGGAATCAGCGAATCTTGAACTCATACATTAGCTATATTGACATCTTTTTGACATGTATATACCAAATAGAAGGACATAATTTCATAGGTGTACCAGTGGTGATCAAATGAGTACGTTTGAAATGGACATTAAGTATAGTGGAATGCTTTTGTAATACCACTCTGGAAAACGTGACTGACAGCAGCATTAAAGGTGAATAGCACCAAAGAACTAAAGGTGAATAGCCAAACTCTTACAGGAATTAATAAGATTTATTGCATGGCAGACCCTTTATGGGTGGGATTCTGTCCCCTCACTATGAGCTGGGTCTTCTATCTATTTTACAGATGAGAAAGTCAAGTAACTTGACAAAGTCACCTACTCAGTGTATTTTAGTTCTAATCCAATCCTACCTTACGATAAATCTGTCACTATTTCTATTGATTAAATTAATAGATATGGGTAGGTGTGTGGTATAATTACAATACTAGAGTTCATGTATTAGAACACACACATAGTACTATTGATACCTAGCTGCTGCCTTCTTGCGTTGATATTCTGTAGATCACCACTTGCTGGTGGAACACAAGGCTTTAGAACTATCTGAGCAAAGATCTGATAATGTAATTCTCACCTTTCAGTGCAGAGAAATGACACCAGCATTCAGAGCTTTCTTGAAGAGACATGATAATACCATTGCTACTAAAATGCTCAGGTGAGTTCCCAGGGAGAGCACAGCTGGGCACTCAAGGACATGCCCCCTGTGACTTCCAAGTAGCAACCAGGGCACCCTACCCTATGTCCTGTCCAGCCTGCCAGAGCTGCTCCTGTACCCATCCCGGAGATTTGAAGAATATATACACCTTCTCTATGCTCTGAGACTCCATACTCCTGCAGGACATATAGACCGTGGGGATCTGACCGCCGCAATTGATCAAATCAAAAACTATAAAGGCTACATAGATCAGGTGGGTCGCTGATACACATGTGTGGGGACAAATGTTTCAGTATTTTTGTGGTAGTCTCATTTAAGGACCCTGAGAGGCCCTCTTTTCTGTGGGTGTCTTTACATCAACCTTTCATCCCTTTAAAGATGAACCCATAGTCCTGTTTCACACCTTTGGACATGAAAGTCATCTATTCCAATCCGAACAATGTGAGACAACACTTTTGGAAAACTGTACGGCCACAGTGCCCCTGCACACTCGGTTTTAGACAGGGTCTTATGTGTTCCAGATTAGCGTGGACTTGATGTGTAGCCAAGGAGCACCCTGAACTTCCAATCCTCCTGTCTCCCTCATTTCTGGAGTGCTAAGATAGAAGACATTCCCCAATACTCCCAGGTAACATAGGGCTTGGACTCCAACTGGGGGTTCTGTGAATACTAGGCAAGCACTCTGTCACCCAGGTCACAGCCCCAGTGCCACCTTTTCTAGTGGGAAAGTATGTAAAATTTGGATTTGTGTAGATAACCAAAAGAAGAGAAAAGCCAAAATGTAAAATTTTTGGCTTCCAAAGTTGATTGTTTTTAAGATCTCAAGTCACTTTAGAGACTCGGTAACCCTAGCACTCACTAGTCCCTATATACTGTGTTGGCACATCACACCCTAAAATGATTTTTTTTTTCCGAAGAGCCTTGTTTACTTGCCTTTGTTATTAAAACACTGGGTCCAGAAAATTGGTATTTTTATTAAAGAACCAAGCCCTTTGCCAGGTGTCACAAAATAGTAATAAAAATGTCATGACCTTTGTTTGCCTAATATAACCTTGTATTCTAGATAAAGGAAAACATCAAAATGAGAGAGCAGCTGACCCACGTACAGACCACCATCTCAGACTGCCCCGTACGTACGCTGATGTTTTTGCTGCATCTCACACTCATGAGTATAATCTTGTCACTGGCAAAAGGAGACAGACAGATCCCGAGGCAGCTAAATTCTGTGGCATGCTGTTACTGCCAAGCACTGCAGCTTCCATGTAACATATCCATTTTATGTGCATTATCTGCACATGCGTATGTGAGTTGTGCCCTATCCCATGGTTGGGGTCTGCAAGGTTGTATTACAGCTCCTTGTTTGCCATTGCTCTTTGAAGATACACTTTCTTCTCTGACATTGCCATTCTTTCCTGCTTCCTTGGTTAAGTGCTATTAGTCCTTTAAAAGCTAGGCTGGGGCTGTGGAGATACCTCAGCAGGCAAGAGCTCTTGCTCTAAAGGCATGAAGACGTCAAATCTCCAGGACTCACATACAAAGCCAGGCAGGCCACAGGCAGACACCTCTAACTTCACTGCTCTGAGGGGGAGACAATTGCTGGGGCCACCTTAGCTCCAGATTTACTGAGACAACAAGGCAGAACAATAGAGCGGGACAACTGTTGTCCTTTGTGGGGGGCACACACACCCCCTTTTAAATGAGATCAATCATAAACTCATTGTAATCATGATCTCATGATCTAAGTCCCTTGGTCTCAGGCTGGAAGCTCTTTCCCATGGTCAGTCCCTATCATGGGTCCCTGTATTCATCTATTCACAGACTGGGAGCCCCACCGTGTGTGAGCTTTGACTTGTTTTCTGGTGTCTAATGTTCAGCAGGAGCTTGGTATAAATGATGGATGAAAGTATTAACTAATTGGAGATACTTTTACGTGGTCAAATTAGAGAAGCAGGACAGAGTAGTTTTGTTCTAATTTCTATCTTCATATCTTTGTAAAGAAAGAAGTGTGGTTGATTGGACTGCAAAAGGATGATTCTTAGAACTCACAGAACTTCATCTTTGGATTTCTGTGCACACTGAGAAGGCCTGTGCCCCATGGCAAGAGCAATGCATGAGCCTACTTCTTAATCTTACTAATTAATTCATTTACCTCTTTTTCTTGACAGTTCCTTTTACCTCCTCTCTAACTTTTGTTTTTTGACATTAGGAAAAGTATATATCTATATCCATATATATAGATATATAAATAGCTTTAATATATCAATAGCTTTAAAAAACTGACAGACTCAAATAGTTTTCATTGTCACTTTAGTTTGCTAAAGGAAGCTTGTGTTTGTAAAATAAGAAAAGACAGACTTTTCTACAACCACACTAAGTTCTAGTCAACATCTGTGTAGATGAAGACTGCTTGTTCACTTCCCAACCACCCAGACCTAAATAATAACACAGAAACTATATATATAATTTTAAAGGTATTTATTTACTTATCTATCATGTACACAGTGTTCTGCCTATATGTATGCCTGCACACCAGAAGAGGGCACCAGGTCTCATTAAAGATGGTTGTGAGCCATAAAGTGATGACTGGGAATTGAACTCAGAACCTCTGGAAGAGCAGACAGTGCTCTTAACCTCTGAGCCACATTTCCAGTCCCCCATAGAAACTATTTTAATTACAACACTGCTTAGCCAATTAGCCCAGGCTTTCTATTAACTAACTCTTACACCTTAAATTAACCCATTTCTATTATTCTGTGTCTCACCACAAGAAAAGATACACTGGGGGTGTAGAACAGTTCTGCACCAGTGGGATTTTGAATAATTGTACATCCTGCTCTTTATTTTATAGACTCTATCAGAAGCAAACAGATACCTGATTAGGATCCAAGATGTAGTTCAACTTCACTGCTATGATGAGAAAATGGATTTCCCTTTAAGGTGAGCAGCTGTTAGCCAAGGCTCTGAATGCCTGCAAGGCAGTGACTGTTTCGCTCATTGCTCACCCCTGGCATTCAGTATAGGCCTGACCTTGTGTGCAGTCAAGAGAACCTTTGCACTGAGTCAAAGCCACATGCATGTGCCTGTCGGTGGTGTGGACACCTTATCATCTTGTTCGCATCTCAGCTGGCTCCTTGGTAGAATAAGAACAGTGTCTGCCAAGACTAGGACTGTACAGTCGACCTTCTCAAGGTCGGTCAGTTTCCCAATGAGGTCAGATCCAAGTATTGTGGGAGCGCACACCAATATCCTGCTGAAAAGTGAGAGAATCATTTATTATCTTCAGCTAGCTGTTCAAGTTAACACCGAAAATGACTTTACTATATTTGCATAACGCTCAGAGTGCACTGGAAAGATGCCAAAGTCCATAAATTAGACTTCCTGTTGCTCTTTTAGAACAAGAATGGACAAGTTTTTCCATGAAGTCCGAAGAGTAAATATTTAGCATTTGCTGGCCAAATGAGGTCTATGGCAATGACCTTTTCTGCTGCAGCACAGAGACATCTAGACAACACAACAGTATGCTATTCATAAACAGCTGGGGCTATGTGCCAATAAAACTTTATTTCCAAAACAGGTGATAGACTATAGTTTCCTGATCACTGCTTTAGAAAATGGCCAATGTTTTCAGTATTGAGGACAAAGACAAATCTTTCAATACATAGCAACCAAATGGAAAGGAGGCTCTTTTATTCCCGTGATTATTCAGCAAACATCTAGATGTGCCAGGGCAGTGGGGCAGATGGGTCACTCTTTGCACCTCCATCCCCACCTGGGAGATCCTCAATGAAAATCAAAGGCCATGAGTTTGAGCCCCAGAACTGACATGGAACGAGAGAACTGACCTCAGCAAGTTTTCCTCTGACCTCCCCACATGCTCTGTGGCACACCCCTCCCTGAAAAAAGACAATGTAAGCAAAAAAAAAAAAAAAAGAAAAAAAGAAAAATCAAATCACCACAGGTGTCTTTTGCCTCACCGACTTGGCATTCTTGTTTTTTTTTGTTGCATTGTTGGTTGGTAGCAATGGGTAAGAGCTTCAGTAGTAGGAAGCAGCTGGCTAAAGAAGCTGGCATGGTGGAGGCGTGGCAGCTGATCCAGGCTGGGTTACTCCATCTACATAGACTGTTTCTTGAACAGTCGTCATTTTTTTCATGTAAACTACTGGCAGTGTGTTCCCTTATTTTTGGTTTGAGAAATTGTCCATTATGTTTGAAGGAAAAAATTGCTGGCTATGGAATTTTAGGTTGCTGAAGTTTTCTTTCTTTCTCTATTTTCACATCATTCATTCTCTTTTGGTTTGGTCAGTTTCAAAGAGAAGCCAAATGCAGTTCTTATCCTTGTTCCTCTAGATGTTTTTGTTCTTTGTAGTCAAGTTTGTCTTTGAGTCTTTTTATTTACTTATTTCTATTTTATGTACATATGCCATTAGGTGTCGGGTCCCCCGAAACTGGAGTTACAGTTGTGAGCTGCCCTGTGGGTGTTGAGAATTGAACCTGGGTCCTCTGGAAGAACAGTCAGTGCTCTTAATCACTGAACCATCTCTCCAGCCCCTGTCTTCAAATTTCTAATAGAGTGGTCATTATGCCTATGTGTGGAGCTATATTCTGTTTCTGGAGCTTTCTGGAACTGTGGTTTGTTTGTATCCGTGTGGGGTATAAGCATCAGTTTGGGTGTACAGAGGTTGGAGAGGGTGTTGGATCCACTGTAGCTGGAACCACAGACAGCAAAGAACCATGATGTGGGTGCTGTGAATTGAACTCAGGTCCTCTGGAAGAACAGCAGACATCCACTGGGACCTCTCTCCATCCTTTAAGCAAATTTGAGTATTTCTCCTGTTCTTTTCTCTCTTCCTTATCTACATGCATGTTTTGTTTTGTCAATTGTCCTTACATGTAGTCTCCTTTCTCTCCACCTCAGCCTGTTCCTGTTTCTCAGTATGACTGACATTTCTCCTCACACACCACACCTTCCAGCAGCTAACTCAGCTGCAGTCTCCTCAGAGACACCAATGGGTTTCTTTGTGACAGCTGATCTTACCTTTACCATTTCCTTTGTAAAATGGAAATGGTTTCAAGTACTCTATTACCTGGTTTTCTTTTTTTTTTTCCTATTAGATTTCTTAGCATATTAACCATGGTTAAATTCCCAATTTGAATGTTTCAAAATCTCTGCCATATCCCAGTCTGGTTCTGATGACTGCCCTCTTCACTCCACCTTTGCCTTTCAGCATGGCTCAAATCTTATTGAAAGTTAGAAAAACAAAACCAAAAACCAGCCCCCCGCCAAAGAAAACAAATAGGCATTTTTAGTGTGAGGTTTATGCCCCCTACTTAGGTCGTGCTTACTCTGTCTGTCATAGTGAAAGGCTGCCATGTTCCTCACGTCTGTGTTTTGTCAGCAGGTCCAGCCTTAAGGACTCCTAAAAATATTCTGACTGTTTTGCCTGCATGTATGCATGTGTACCACTGTGTGCTTGGTGTCCATGGAAGCCAGAGGAGGGTGTCAGATCCTGTAGGACCAGGAGTTATGGAGGCTACATGTGGGTGCTGGGAACCAAATTCAGATCCTTTGTAATAGTAATAGTAAGTGCTCTTAACTGCCCCAAGACCCCTTCAACAGAGTCTGAGTTTTGTATTTTTGTCTATTGTAATTAGATAGTTGTCCTACTGAGGTGGTAGAAAGATGCGAGAGGAGGCACACATTCTGTAGCCCTCTGTGTGGCCTGGGCTGACCCCCAATTTGTGGATATCCTCCTCCTGCCTTAGCTCTCCCAAGGACCGGGATTATAGGTGGGCTCCCCTAAGTGATAGGGAAGCTGTGGCCTTGGAGTCAGTAAGAATTCCCCCTTCCCCAGGCTGCTAAAAGAACCCCTGAGGACCTTGTTAAGAACTTTGAGGTCGCATTTCAGAATGGCCAGGTCTGCCACCCTTGTGCCCCAGGAGAGTCTTCTCAGCTGTGTGAGAGCCTGGTGGGCTCCTGTGTGCGAGTGCAGCCATGGTCTGAAATTCTGGCTGCTCCATCACGTCAGTATTAGAGGTGAAATTACCTGATTTGCTCATTTAGAAGACCTCATAGAGCCTGTGGTGACTCTGATAGAGAGCACCAGGGGTTGAATTTAGGAAACAGCTTCTGCCAAGTGTGTGTAGGTGCCAAACAGACACACGTGTAGAAAAAGTTCCTTGCAATTTGTCTTTTCCTCCACTGTCCTTGAGCGGCCACACTGAATTAGTGTGCAGCTTCCTCCTTTGCCAGAGCCTCACCAGTTCAGTTACACAAGAACTCATGGCTGCTGCCACTCAACGCTGTCCATTCCAAAGGGGAAAGCCAAACATTTACTTCTGAAGCAAGCACCAACATCGATGGCATTTATTTCTTCATAGCGTTCTGTAGGGCTTCCAATTATAAAGCTATTTTTTTAACATTTTAAAATGTAAAAATTTGGACTCTTTTCTAAACTTAAGAAAAATTATTTTTCTATATTTATCAGTTATATGGCAAAACCTGGGAAACATGGTAGAATTCTTTACCTAGTGAAAGCAGCCTTTGCCTGCATGTGGTTGATCATTTCTGGCTTTCTCTCCCCTTTCTTCCTACTGCGGCCCCATCATTCTGAGAGAAACTCAATAACTTGATCTAAAACTGTTTTTCCCCCTCAAAATGTAAGTAAATATGAAGCAACCCATTCACAGCAGCATAAATCATAATCAAAAGAAGAAGGAAATGTTTAGATGCAAGAGCTGACTCTAGCGGCTGATGACCACAGTGATTCTATTTACTGTACACCCAAGCATCTGAAATGAACTTAGGGTTCTCCACCTGGATTTCCTAACTCTGATGGCAGCCTTTGGTCCAGCTCTTAGGCAAAGTTGTAACTAAAATGACTCAGATGTCTTATTTCTCAAAACCAGGCTGGAACTGTGGAACCAGAGTCGCCAGGGGCTTGCCAGAAATGCATAGGCCCCTGGAGGCAAAAAGTCTAATATGACAAAATCCTGGTCATATTAACTCAGGTCAGCACACATATAACATCAGTCGTTACGAAGTGAATTATTATGAACTACACTAAATTTTGTACACAATATAAAACTTTTCAACAAAAAATATCTGACAAATCACTTCTCACTGCAAACCCTCACAGATATAACAGCTCATGAAAAGAATTTGATTATATGAAGAGAACCATCTAGCAATCTGGCTCCAAAGCAAAAATCAGAAGGTCACAGATGAGGTCCGAAGCACAGCAAATTTTGCTGTTTGCCTATGGCTAACCATTATTAGCAATGTCAATGAAGATAAAGAACAATTTACATTTTACTTCCCGTAGGGGTGAAGTTACTGAGCTGCCTCCCTTCCAGTTTCTCTCCAAACGGAATAAGCAGTTCATTTGAACTACCAGTTCAATGGTTCTTCCCCAGGTTTCTACTTAGAGATGCCTGCAGTCACACCACCCTCTGATAGTTCTCATGAGTGTCACATGAGCTGAAACAAAGCAAACTCATATGGTTCTCAGGTCACCCAAATACATCCGGCACAGAACGCCACAGCTGACAAGTTATAAAAATAGTCATGATAGAATTCATCTAATAAAGGAGGAAAGGAGGGAACATTCGATGTTCATTTAAATAAGTTAGATTTACTCTTTTATGTGTGCCTGCATTATGTGCACCATGTGTGCGCTCGGTGCCCAGGGAGGTCAGAAGGTGGCATTGGGTGCCCTAGAACTGGAGTTACAATGGCTGTGAACCCGTCCTCTGCAACAGCAACAAGTGCTCTTAACCCAAGCCCTCTTTCCAGCCCTCACTGTTCATGTTTTGCACATTATGAAATACTTGACTAATGGATGGGATCAAATAACTCTATCAGGTACCTTGGTGGTCTACATTATGTCTAGACATGCAGGGTCACTTTACCAAGTAGTCCATGAATTACACAAAGGGTCTGTAGTGGGATAAGGTCTTAATCATGAAAGTATCAATTTAAAGATGGTCAATTGTTGAGCAAGGCGCATACCTGTGAGCTCTCCACTCTAACAGGCTCTATGAACAGACCCGAGACCTCAGCCTCTTCCTCTTCAATGATGCACTGCTTGTTACCCGTCGGACCACATCTCATACTCCATTTGAAAGGACGTCCAAAACAACCTACCAGTTCATTGCGTTAGTGGCCCTTCCCAGGATGTTCATAGAAGACATTCCAGACTCCAAATGTATGTATTTTCTTTCATGAGAAAAGCTATCTCACACCAAACTCATTAACTATACAAAGGGAAAGGGAAAGGCTGGGGCAATTTGTCAGCTTACCAATATTAAGATTTCATTAACTTCCCTCTGAAGAAACAAAAGTTGCCATTACCAGACACAAACCCAAACAACAGAAAAGCAACTTTTAGTCACAAGGTGGTTAAGTGCTGTATCATTCTGAGGGTTCTGTGAAGATGCTACAGGCTTGAGCCACTATTTCAGGTATCCATCCATCCATCCATCCATCCATCCATCCATCCATCCACCTTTGTACCTATCATCTACCTATTATTACTAGCAGTCCTGGAGATAGAGTCCAGAACTTCATGCATGCTAAGCGACTGTTCCACTGAGCTACTGCCCCAGCCCTCTTATCATTTTTCCTATTCTGTTTGAAGGAAGAAGCTATTCCAGACTTGATTGTCCTTTTCTTCCCTTAATTGGATTTAGCTAGTTCCTCTAAAAAGAGCCAGCATTTGCAAAGTGTGCTTAGTAACTAAACATTAGTTCACAAACTCCAATAGAAATAGGTCATAAAAGAACACAACTTAACCCGTTGTGCTTATTGTTAACTCTCCATGCTGTAACGCCTGTTTCTCAAGCTGCACAGGATCCGTCTCTAGTCTGCATTTCTGTTAGGACAGGCAACTGGAAGGTAACATTTCTCACTGCAATACTTGCCCCGCGTGTAGACAGGACCGCAGCTTAAAGAAGGCACCAAAGCCCAATTTAAGTTCTTGACTCACGGGTCTCACTCCACCTTTAACCGAGCATGGTTAGTATTGGAAATGCTCCTTTTCTTCAGCTCCCGTAGACTGCAGTTGTCAACTGTGCTTACACCAGGGCACGGGCACTCAGCTAAGACAGTAGTTGGCTGTGTCGTTCATACCAAGGCCACTCCAGGTCTAGCCTCTCTACAGCCACCAGTGAAGATTTTTTACTGATACCAGTTCTTTCTAGAGGCATTGAAACAAGGGATTAAAAGACTTCACATTATCATCTGGCCTTTAAAATAACTGACAAACAATTATAAAGACAGAATTTTTGATAATGTTGCAAGTCTGTTTAGAAGATAATCTTCTAAACTACGTTTATCCTTACCTGGAATCCTTGATTGTAGGCTTTAAAAAATTTTAAGATTAGATAGTCAAGTCTTAAACTTACTTGTTTTGTTTTGTATTTTTTTGAGACAGAGTTTCTCTATGTAACAGCCTTGGTTGTCCTGGAACTTACTCTGTAGACTACCCTGGCCTCGAACTCACAGAGATCTGCCTACCTTTGCCTCCTGAGTGCCGAAATTAAAGGCGTGTGCCACCACTGGCCAGTTGAACTGAAAACATTTTGATTTTTGCCTGTGAAGATTAAACATTAGCGTAGCTTCAGTGTAATACTGCTTGGCCATAAAGAAAACTTTGCCATACGTGAGCTCCCTGATGAACATGGAGGATATTATGTTTAAGTGAAATAAACTAAGCAGGAAAAAAAAATGATGTTCCTGAATCAGACAATGGTGACAATTATGTAACTATACAGTCAAAATCAATAAGTGGTATACTTTCAATACATGAAGAAAAGTAATATATCTCAAATGTTTTCACAGATGTCAAGAATGCGTTCATTCTTCAAGGTCCAATGCGTGAATGGATCTGTGCTACTGAGGCGGCAGACGACAAGTTCCTCTGGTTGTCTGCACTCCAAACGGCAATCAGAAGCAGTATAAAGTAAAACTAGACTCAAAACAGACAAGAGGGTCTTTGGAAAGTCATATGCCAGGTTTCCTGCTTCAGAACATCTAGTAAGAAGCACACAGGGAACAGTCATGGATGTGGGGAGATGACAGAGCTAGGACCGCCTGTGAGGTTTCTTCCAACTTCTAGGATGTGTGATTAAGTTTTGTGGAATGTGTAAGAACATGTCTAAGATTTTGAACTATATCTTTTGGTAGCCACTGCTCACAGGGGCTATTTAAAACAATTTGACCTATGTAGATTTTAAAAGCGAGTAATGAAAAATCAGAATGAACAATGTTTCTTTCACGAGCATTCTAGAACAATACTTGAACTTGTTTGTGATTCACAAATCAACATCAACTTTTCAAGAAGCAATTAATGATTTTTAAGGGTATGTCTGAGAAATATAATTGGCAGCCTTCTAAAGCAATGTCAAATGTGAGTGAAGTCCTTTTTAAAGCATTAGAATATGATATTTCAACATACCAGAACATTTAGTGGGTTTTGTTTGCTTTCTGTAATTTTTACTTTTTAAGACCAAATTCTTAGATCTCCCAAATAACCCTAATTTTTTTTTTTAAATAATACTATCAGAAATGCAGTGGTAGGAGAATCCAATTCTTAAATAGTGAAAATTAGTGAATGGGACTAGAGCTCCAGCTCACTGGAGCCCACATGTCAGAGTATAACCTCTCACTCCAGTTCTGGGGAAACTGATCATCTCTTTGGCTTCCACGGGTGCCAGGAATGGACAGTGCACAGAGATACTTGCAGGCAACACATACACACACACCCATAAAATTAAAATAACCTGTAAAAATGGAGATTGTTGCATTCCAGGCTCAGGACCCAGAGACTCCCGCACTGGAACGGGCCCGAAGGCCTCCTCCCTAAGGACTAGCTTTCCAAGTACCCAGAAGGTGCCAAATAAGCTTCCAAGGGAGGGAAGCAACCAAGAGTCTCCCTAGCAATGATGTCTATGAGATACAATGACCAGCATGGCATGATGACATTAGAGTGCAGCTTTGGCATGTGTACCTGGGCAGTATCAACAGCTCTCTAATTGTAGTTAAGACTACCTTAAAAAGAAGGAAACCATGGCCAATACCGGAAGCCTAATCAGGGCTAGTGACGTCATGAATCTTGGAGGACAATCTACAACCACCACTTTACTAAACCGGCATAATCCCTAGCTATATTCTAAATATTTGCCCTTCTAGTCACAGACAAGTGTGGTCATCCCTCAATAAGGAAACCTTTCTTTGCAACAACTGGAATCACTGTAGAAAACCACAACCAATCAAATAGCAGATTTATAGAACCCAGTCCCAATGGACTCATCTACAAAACATCCCCAGAACCTAAGGCTGAGAGAACACTGTGGAAGGCAGGGGTTACAAAAGCAGGGGTTTTAAGAGCCAGAGGATCGGGGAGTTTGCTATGTGAATGTGTCTCCCAGTAATGTCACAAGCTACACCCATAGTCTCACCAACATGACTGCCTAAACAGGAGCCGAACAAGGATGACTACAATAGAAGTGTCAGCGTGGGTGGGTGAAAGATCATCAGGCCCCAACCCTACACAAGAACTATAGACAACGGCGGGGTGCTGAGAGAGGGAGAAACAATCTTCTCCAGGGAAGACAACAATTGGATATCTAGTACCAACTGGTCAGCCCCGAAAACATGCATACAAATAACACAGACTGAGAAGACTGCATTTAGGAATATGATTGTATATACACATATGTATACATACACACACATAACAATTAATGAAAGATGAGGCCATGAATTTAAAGATAGCAAAGAGGGGTTCAGGGGGAAGTTTAGAAGGAGGAAAGGGGAAAATGATAGAATTATACCATAATCTCAAAAACTAGAAGTAGCCAGGCATAGTGACTGATGCATGACTAATTCTAACACTTTGGAGGCTGAGGCAGGAGGATCTCTATGAGTTTGAGGCCAGCTTAGTTTACAGAGTTCCAGGACAGATAGGGATAGAAACCCTGTCTTAAAAATAAATAATAAAGAAAAATGGAAAAAAACTTTTGCTACTTTCTGTTTCATAATGTATTATGGTAATTAAACCTATTGTACAGTATATGATTGTGAACTCAGGGTACTTAAATATATTTTACTGAAACTATAATTTCTAATTCTCAGAAGTTTAAAATTCTGGCTAAAATATATAGAATTTAAATATTGTATTTTCCTATTATTACACTAACCAGTTCTCATGTGAATACCCTCTGAAGTTTACAAACGTTACTTGAAACTGTTGTCTGTGAAGCTTTTGTGTGTGCCTGCACGCAATGTCAGAGGACAGTCCTGGGTGGTACTCTTCAGGTGCCTTCCATATTAGTTTTTAAAAGCCTGGGTCTCTCACCGGCCTGAGACTACAAGCGTCCAACCATGCCTGGCTTCAAAAATTCACAAACTGGGTTCTGTGAGTTAAGCTTCCTTGCAAGATAAGCACTCACTAGCTGAAGTGTAGGACCCTGGTCCTGTAAAAGTGCCAGCAGTGAGCACCTCAGTCCTGCAGAGAGCAGTAATGTTCTGAAATGGCTTTCTCACTCCTTATGTAATGCTTTCATCCTTTCCCTTCACCTCCAGGGAACAATGAAGAAAGACCTGTCTTCATAGTTCGTAAGCTTACACCACTCCTGTTGAATTACACCCTTACATAAACACACACAAATAGTAAGTCACGGGTGAAATTGGTCAAGAAAAACATGAACCCTGACCCTGAGTTGGCATGTGAGGAAGGAAAGCTTCTGAGAAACACACCAGGCTCCTGAATCAAACCCTGTATAAAATTCTGTATATAGGGAGATGTTGACAGGTTGATATCGTTTTCCCTTTGCAAAGTTTTCTGAGTTTGGGCTTGATAAGATGCCCATTTCTGCAAATGCAATCATGGTGTGGTTTGCCCACGGATGATGAGGGCCTGTATCACTGCTATGTATTGTTATGGCATAAGAAGGGAGAGGCACGCCAACAAACACAATGTATCCTCCAGAAAAAGTCCTCCTAACCCTTTTATTGTTGAAATTAAAAAATAAAAGATACTTAAATACAATGGTGAACATATAGGGCAAAACAGAATCATAAAATTTAATGTTCAATTAAGCAGTGAGCTGAATGTTTGGGTTTCCAAATAGGCTCTGAACCCAAAACTGCTTCCAAACAGGCATGTTCACAGTTAACGGCAATTGGCTTATAGGTGAGAGAACGGTCGAAGTTGTTCCAGTTGAACTTCCAGGGAAATTCTCTCCTCCAGAACATCCTGAAAAAGACGCAAAGTCCAAGTCATGTTGAAAGTAAAAAGAAATCCAATGTTATCTCTGCTTCGTGCTAACAACTGTATTTGTCAAGAGAAAGACACAGCGATTCCTTTTTTGAAACTAGTTCACCTTGGAAGGCAATTTGTACATTCATAATAGGAAAACACAAGCCTACCAATTCAAAGCCATTTCCGGTGACAGAACCAGGTAATAAAATGCTTTTAGGTTAATTGTTAGAAAAGCCAGTGATTGTAGCGAATGGGTATTATTACACAAATTCTGAATAAAGCCTTAACTGTATATAAATTTGTTAACATGAATTCTTTCCTCTGATGATGGTATTTGATTCCACAAAGATTTTGTTTTTCATTCAGAATCTTAAAACTTATTAATAGTGTATGTGTGAGCTCGTATGCCGCAGCGTGTGCTCAGGCTGGAGAACAGCTTCTGCGGACACAGGTAAGCAGGCTGGCAGCTTTCACTTATTAATAGTGTACGTGTGAGCTCGTATGCCGCAGCGTGTGCTCAGGCTGGAGAACAGCTTCTGCGGACACAGGCAAGCAGGCTGGCAGCTTTCACTTATTAATAGTGTACGTGTGAGCTCGTATGCCGCAGCGTGTGCTCAGGCTGGAGAACAGCTTCTGCGGACACAGGTAAGCAGGCTGGCAGCTTTCACTTATTAATAGTGTACGTGTGAGCTCGTATGCCGCAGCGTGTGCTCAGGCTGGAGAACAGCTTCTGCGGACACAGGTAAGCAGGCTGGCAGCTTTCACTTGCTGAGCCACCTCACTGGCCCATAAAATAGTACTTTAAGATTCATCTTTTTTTATATATAACTTTTTATGATTTATTTAACTTTATTTTATGTGAATTAGTATGAAGGTGTCAGATCCCCTGGAACTGGATTTTCAGACAGTTGTAAGCTGCCATGTGGTTGCTGGGAATTTCAGGTCCTCTGGAAGAACAGAGTTCTTAACTGCTGAGCCATCATCTCTCCAGCCCCTTCTTTTTTTCACACACAAGATGGTTTAAAGTTTCCCACTCTGTCTTCATTAGACTGGTTTAAATTCCTATTACTGAATCTGAGTTGTCTCTGATCAAAGAATAAACTGGTAATAGAGCAGTTGTCTATACATTACATGGAACATAGAGCTATGTATGTACTCTCGGAGGTATTGAAGTCCACTTTTCTTCTTGAAGTTTCTTCATGGAAGTTACCAATATACTAGGACTAGTGATGTCTTACATATGCAGGAAAAGACAATGTGCACCAGAACTGTGTTAAGAAATTCCTTTTAGTATTAAAAATCAACAGTTTACACACTTCTCTTCTGGGAAAGTTTCACAGACTGACATCTTGTTATTGGATCAGTTCCAATTCCCCAAAACTGCAATGTGTTACATTCACCAAAGCTAAGATTCAGACATGACATTACCTTTAATTGCTGCTGCAATTCACTATTCAATCTGGCCAGAACAGTGTTGGTTTCCTTATTGCGTCTAATCGATGCTTGGATAGCCTTTTTATCTTTCCCCACAGATCTGAGAAGACACAGGGACAAAAACACTCTTCATTTCTTTCCTGTCTTTAATCCTTTACTCCTACTTGCTATGGGATAATGCTCTTGTACACTGTAAAATTTGTCACTTTATTAGTTTAATAAAACATTGATTGGCCAGTAGTCAGGTAGAAGTTTAGGCATGGTGATCAGACTAGGAAATTTCTGAGAAGATGAAAGGCAGAGATGCAGTTGTCAGCTAGACACAGAGGAAGCAAGATGAGAATGCCTTACTGATAAAAGATGTATGTTATAAGAATTATGGGTTAATAATAAGCCTGAGCAATATGTCAAACAGTTTATAATTAATATAAGCCTCTGTATGTTTATTTGGGACTGAATGGCTATGGAGCCTGGTGGGACAGAAACTTCTGTTTACAGCCACTGACTTCCAAGCAGAGAAGGATCTTCACTTGCTGTTCCAATGATAATGAGAACATGTAAGCTACAGAAGCCCAAGACCATAGCTATCACTTTAGTTATTATAGTTATTCTGTTGAATTCATGGAGTGAAACAGCCTGGACCAAGTACTTATAGACTCTTTCTATAAACAGCCAGGCAATGAACGTTTCTGTCTTTGTGGGCCATACTGTTGCTGCTGTGCGTCTTTGTTTCTTTCTCTTTTCTTAGAAACATAAAAGCTGGCCAGAAAGATGGCCCAGGTGGGAAGGGCACATGCCACATAGGCATGACGATTCTGGTCTGTTCCATGGAACCAGCATAGAAGAAGATCCAACTCCCAGGAGTTGTCCTCTGACCTTTTCATGCATGGCACATGTGGGCAGGTCAGAGAACAACTGGTAGAAGTTGGTTCTCTCCTTCCACCATGTACGTCCTGGTTTTGAACTCAGGTTGCCAGGTGCAAAGCACTTTTACCCATAGCCATTCCACTGGCCCCAGAAAGTGCTGTGAGAGT